GGGAGAAACTGGTTAATTGAGGAATATAATAATTGAGGCCTTCCTTTTTAAGAGAAAGGAGCCACAGGGAAACCACTTTCAGGGAGGTGTGTGTTTGTGTATGTTATCTGTATTATCTTTCTGAAGTCAAAAGATAACACCTTTGTGTTTTGTTGAACATAGGATGCATATACACTCTAGAAAAAATGCAGTCTGATACCACTTTAACTGCCATGGTGCCATCCTACAGAATGCTGGGATTTTCAGTTTTCTGAGGCACCAGCACTCTTTGGCAGAAAACTCTAAAAACCTTGTAGAACTACAAGTCCCAGGCATCCATAGAAGTGGTGTCAAACTGCATTATTTCTACAATGTAGATGCATCTATGATGATTCCCACATGATTGGGGATCACAGTCTATCTGGGTAGTCTGCAGAACCTTCAGCAACATTAATTTACAGAAAACCAAAGGTAAAGGGCAGGTCTTGCTGGAATAAGCCTGTGACACTCTTTTCTAGGCCTAATAAAGTTATCACCTTCATATATATAGATAGATAGATTTTGGAATTTATTTTAATAGGGAGTGGGTGGAAAAGGAAGCATCATAAGAGCCCAGAGTAAATCCTAGTGTCTCCCAGTAACATTTGTTTTGCAAAGAAGTATAAAAAGAAAAAGGGAAGGGAAGAAAAGGAACAAAGCAGCACATTTAAAGACTGATTTATTTTAGTATGAGCTTTTGTGGATTTCAGTCCTCTTCTTCATGTTCTGATGCAGTTATTATCAAACTTCAAGTATATTAATAGTCATAGTTGTGGGGCTGGGAATCAGAGGATACCAAACAATTTGTGATACTGGCCTTAACTCTTCTGATAGCTGGGTAAGGAGAAGTTGCTCTGTAAGTTGTGTAAGATGATATTAACTCCATCATCTGAAGAAGTGGATTGAAATCCAGGAGAACTAAAATAAATTATAAAATTAAAAACAGTCTTAAAGGAGTTGCTAGCTTCCTTTCCTTTATCCTTTTTATGCAAGCTATTTCTTTGTGAACTTTTCAAAGAGGTGTGTGATCTATCAGTTTAAGCTCACCAAGGTTATAGTTTGGGGCTTGTCAAAATGAGTTCCTAAAATAAAAATTCTGGACCCCCAATGAAATACTCCTTTAGTCCCCAAATTTCTAGCATTACAGAGAATGAAATACTGAAAATCATTCACAGCTAGGATAATATTTGCTGTGTTTGCATTCCATTTTGACTGCCCTTTTTCTTCAGTTGTATTCCCAAATGCTCCACTGAAGTTTTAAGTTACTGACTGCAATGCAAGACATTTGGAAATTGGAGGGGGAAAAAACATTGACCACATGCTTTCCTTTTCATCTCAAACCCAAAGCCCTAAAGTACCTAGATTTTGCTGGACCCTGACCCAAGATTTCAGGACAGGGTGGTCAAGCAGATTTTCGATGTTAGGAAAGCGATTGAAGGGCAGAAGATAATGAGTATGAATTAAAGATCGATTTAATGCTAAACCAGGTCTCAGCATCCTGGTATTCCCTTTAGGACCAAAAAATAAAAAAAAACCCCAAACCTGTTTATCGATTTATTTCCTCCCTCCTCCACTATTAATAGAACTTGGCAGCCGAAAACAAATCCAGGGCATCAAAGAAATGAAGAGACAAAAGGCCTTTGGAAGGGGAGGGAGGGGAGAGAAAGGGGGAACCTGCCCAAATACTATGAAATTAACAAGGGCGGCATCCACACTGCAGAAATAATCCGGCTTGACACTGCTTTAACTGCCATGGCTCAATGCTATGGAATTCTGGGAATTGGAGTTTGTTGTGGCACCAGAGTGGAGCTGTGATTGTTGTTATTGTTGTTGTGTGCCTTCAAGTTGTGTTGTGTTTCCGACTTATGGCGACCTTATGCTGGGGTTTTCTTGGCACGTTTCTTCAGAGGGGGGTTTGCCATGGCCATTCTCTGAGGCTGAGAGAGTGTGATGGATGGATGGATAGATGAACAGACAGACAGATTAGATAGATAAATAGATAGATATATAAACCGTGTAAAACTACAAATCCCAGGATTCCATAGGATGGGGTAGGCAACCTTTCCCCTTTAAGGGCCGAGGGACTTCAGCTCCCAGAAGCCTCAGCCATATTGGCCAATAGTCCCATGTTGGCCAATAGCTCCTGGGATTCTGGGAGCTGAAGTCCCTCGACCCTTAAAGGGGAAAGGTTGTTTACAAAAAAGTGGTGTCAAAGTGCATTATTTTTACAGTGTAGATGCAGCCCAAGCGATCCGGCCGAGATAGGCTCCAACCTGATGGCTGAAAATACTAAGGGGCTAACGGGACTTCCAGGGAGGCTTTTTGGAAACGTAGGGCAATTCAGGCAACTTTTCTTGGCCTTTGAAAAAAACATTTGGGGAGGTTAAGAATCCTCCTCACCCCCCCTCCCAACAGCAGTAATCGCGTTACATCTTCGAGAGGAACCAGGTGTAAAACTATAAAAACAGCCACAAATGGGAAACCCTCGTTCCCTCCTGAAGGGGGGTCGGGTCCCGGTTGGCTCTTAAAGGCGATGGACCTTTAATCTTCCATAATCTTCCTGCCTCGAGAAAGGGAAAGATGGCAGTAATGGAGAAGTAACGGGGAAGTAACGCATTTGAGAACCAGGGTGGCTTAGTGGGTTGAGTGTTGGACTGCGACTCTGGAGGCCAGGGTTCAATTCCCAACGCGGCTATGAAACCCACTGGGTGACCTTGGGCAAGTCACACTCTCTCAGCCTCAGGGGAAGGTGGCGGCAAACCTCCTCTGAATAACTCTTGCCAAGAAAACCCCATGATTGGTTTGCCTTAGGGTCGCCATCAGTCGGAAACGACTCGAAGGCACACAACAACAACAATAACAATAACAACAACAAGGGAAAGGCGTAAAGTCAAGACAAAGAGACGAGGAAACGAAGACCCGATCTCCAGAACAGAAAGGAGTTCGCGAGTAGAAACTGACCCAAACAGAGTGACCAAGGGCCTTTACAGACTGCCAGAAATAATCCAGCTTGAGACCACTTTAACTGTCCTGGCACAGTGCTAGCGAATCATGGGAATTGTAGTTTACTGTGGCACCAGAGCTCTCTGACAGAGAAGGCTCAATGTCTCAGAAAAAACTACAGTTCCCATGATTCCCTAGCACTGAGCCAGGGCAGTTAAAGTGGACTCAAACTGGATTATTTCTGGCAGTCTGTAAAGGGCCCAAATGACTCAACCGCAAAGGAGGGACAAGGCCCCGCAAAATGTAGGACCTTCCAGAAAAATGCAGGAGATGACCAAAGAAAGGCTTTTAAAAACTCTCATAGAAACAATGGGCTTTTGCAGACTGCAAGAAATAGTGCAAATTGAGTCCACTTTAAGGGTTAGGGTTAGGGTTAGGGAATCATGGGAACTGTATTTTATTGTGGCACCAGAGCTCTCTGACAGAGAAGGCTCAATGTCTCAGAAAAAAACACAATTCCCATGATTCCCTAGCACTAACCTTAACCCTAAAAGTGGACTCAATTTGCACTATTTCTGGCAGTCTGCAACCCCCCCCCCCTTAGTCAGGCTCAAAATGGAGGACCTGTCGGAATTGCTCATGGACAGACAGTTGAAATGCAGGACATGTCCTGGAAAAGGAGGACGTCTGCTCCCAAGCCTTTTCTTCCCATCCTCCGCTTAGGGAACTGCGAAGTGGGGGCCACAGAGGAAAAAGGAGCACCCCCGATGCTCCTGGGCCTTCCTTTCGGGGCCCATTTCCTCCAAGACTTTCGATCCGGCGTCGATCCGGCGCGAGTCCTCCGGCGTTTAGTCCTCCTAAAAGAGGATCTCCCATTTTGGGGATGTTCCCAGGCAGGGAGGCCGAGAGCGAAAGGGAGCAGCAGCCTCTGCGGCCGGCTATTCGGAGAAGCCAGATGGAGAGAAAGACAGACCCAGAACTCATCCGCACTGCAGAAAGAATCCGGTTTGAGTCCACTTTCGCTGAAACGGCTCCACGCTATGGGATTCTGGGAACTGTAGTCGGTTGTGGCACCAGAGCGGAGCTCCATAGCATGGACCCGTGGCAGGGAAAGTGGACTCAACCCGGATTCTTTCTGAAGGGCGGACACAATCCAAGACCCAGGAGAGGGAAGAGACACGAAAAACGCAACCAGCCAGGATTAGAACTCCGGTTCGGCCCCCAAATCTTATCGGAAAGTATATCGCCCTTGAGATAGAGAGGGAGGGAGTTATAAAATGCCCTTGCTGGCATTCTGGGCCGGATTGCATCCGAAGCAGAAGAAGGTTTATATGGATGGTGAAGGGGGGGAAGAGGAGGACAAAAAGATCCACCCCAGAAACGCTCAGCCGTTTGGGCCCTTTCCGGAAAACAGCAAAAGGCAGAACTGCATTCATCTGTCTGTCTATCTGTCTGTCTGTCTGTCTGTCTCTCTATCTATATCCATCAATGCATCTATCCATCCATCCATCTAAGGTGAGCGTGCAGCATCTGTTTATCTGGCATCTATGAT